ACCTTGCCCTCTGCACCATGCTCTTTACCCCAAGCTGCCATTACAAATGGATCATTTATAGCAACACAAAATATTTCTGATATTCCTTTAGACTTCAATTCTCCTGCTTTTTGTATAAAACCAGGTAGATGAGTCTGCAATATTGAACCTCTTAGCATGTGTACTATTTAATTAAAATGAATGTTTACCTTTGAGCAACCTGGTGTAAAAGCTCCTGGCACTGCAAATACTATAATTTTCTTGCCAGCAGCAATTTTTCCCAGATTCACCTTATTTGCAGGTGAATCTTCGAAAAGATCAACCGTGGGCAACTTATCACCTACCTAAAGCAAAATGTAAATAAAGTGCAAATTGAATCTGATACCATTCAAAATAATTGCGAATTGAATTTAATATGAGGGAAAATACTAAAAATAATTGCAGCGATTAGATTATTCTTGCTCTATTTGATTATTTTGGGGGATGAAAGAAATGTAAAAACTTACGCTGATAACCATGTTTTGTGATGATACACGAAATCCTCTCACAAGACAACTGAGGGACGATCGTGCGTCGACAGAAATTGCGCGATTGATTACTTGATTCATTTATGTCTTATGTCCAACTGTGAAGACTGTAAACCAAATAAGTAACTAAATATTTCTCATGGAACTAAATTGTGGAAAAGTTTATTCTGATCGGAACACTGTTCCTTACACAGCCGGATGCAGCCGGATGAATGCCGTTGCACAACATCTCCAATTTATTACATAAATATAAGTACTTTTTTTGTACTCTCTACGCTGATTTCATCTACGTAGTACACATTGATCAAAAGTATTAATAATGTAGTATCATATCAAAAGTATTAATAATTGACATATAAATATTACATACGTATGTATAGGTATAAAGTTATTCATTTATAATATTTTGCATTACTGTTTAACTTATATGTATTAACATACTGCTTTATAGCTTTTCACTCAAATCGATAGACTTATTCGTTCACTGAATTGATCTAAGAAAATCAATTTTCTGTTTGTTGCAAAAAACAAACATTTTTTTAAATTTCCAACAACGGTTTTGTGAAATTTCATTGAAATCAATTTGCTCCCGGTATGTCGATTCAAATATCTTAATGAAACTTGAAAGGAATTTGCACAGATCTTTGAATATGCATCTAAAATTTCATCCGAATCGTTGTCTTAGATACAGAAACCGAGTTATTCGCAGCAGTATCGAGGAGAGAATTGAATTTCGCGTCCAGTAGGTGCTACCATCCTTGATTCCGTGGAAAGAAGAGGAACTACAATTCGCTTCATTCTCGATAATAGTGCAAAGTGAGACGAGAACAAACTCCATGTATCAAAAAATTTGAGTCTTACCCAAACCTACCTAAAGGTGAAGCTACTTAATCTTACGTTATAATTGAGAAATTATAATTTACCTACCTAAAGTTATAATTGAGAAATCACTATAAGAATGGTTCACTTCAAGATTTTTTCGCTTTCAACCTTTAAACCAAGAAGTTACCTGGATTCCAATGAATGACAATGACCAACTTAAGTTATAAGTTTGTTTACTATATTTTGAATTTTTTACAGATTTTGACTAATTTTTTATGACACTGTATTTTTGTAAGATAATCTTTATTCTGTATATGATCGATCACAAGAAGAAACGACTTTATTCTTCACACATACAATATATAGCGCGAATAATTGATATTTAAAAAATCGATCTCTGCTTCATATCAATACGTGCAAAAGAAATAGATTTTTATCTACTTTGCATCCCTATATTCTTAAATCCCCAGTTGTATTTTTTTAAATCTGGATAAGTTGTGCACTTAAGGGCAGTTAAACCGTAATAAATGCAGAGAATCCTTTACGCAATCCGATTGGCCTCAATCGTAAAAGGAATTATTATGTAATTTTGCGGTGTACTCAGTGGTGACGGTTGAAGTTGGAATATTTCTCATTCCATGAATGCATACGATCACGCGAACCGTATTTTTCTATTTAAACTTATCATTTCTTTTCCATACATAAACAGCAAGTCTCTTGTATCGAGAATTTAGAAGAGCCGCTCTTATTTAGTCTACTAGTAGACTTCTTAGTCTACGGTTTTCTAAAACGTTTACTTGTTACAGATTTCAAATGTGCAAAAAGAGAAGAAGTACATATATATTTCAATTACGTGCATTCAGGAGAGCACGTAGACATGGAACAGTGTTGAATCTCAACGCCTACTTACCGGCACTGACACCGACTCCATCCTCCTTCACCAGCAGGGATCGTATAATTTGTCCCTCGACCGGAAAGTGGGGACGACGCGACCATGGTGGGGACTGGTACTTGATGGGGATATGCTAGGCATGGTCAGCGAAAGCGCATGAGGAGAATAGTAGTGGGGATCAAATATGGGCGAAAAAGAGGGGAGCGAGCCGTGCGGGATAAATTAATACGATCCCTGTTCACCAGGACCAGGATAGTGTCTCCCTTCTCCTGTTGATTTTTACCTCTCTCTCGTCCCTTCTACGTCCTTTCTCACTCCTTTTATGCTCGATTCTGCGCTCGTTCCGTGTTCCGTCGGATCAGTTCCCCTACCTACCGGTGTCCAGTTATGTTGTGCGGAACGTTGCTCGGGCGACAATTCGCGTCCGAAATATTTGTTTCGTAAAATCGTTCGTTAAAACGTTAAAAAGTAATCGTGCATTGTATCAGTACATCGTTAATAACGTGTACAGTGTTAAGAAAATTCGAAACTCTGTCGATTTTTCTCCGATAGCTCCAGTGGGGGACCATTTACAGTATACCCACGCGTGCTTTCAAGTATACAGGTACCAGAATCCTGGTACCTGGCGAACACTTCCGTCGAGGAAACGTGGAAACCTTTCGACGATCATCATTGATGAATAAATATTTCGAACGGATGTCTGGCTGGAAGTTTCAACTGGACAACCTAGGAATGCGGTGCGAGTCATTACTGGAAAATGGACATTAGACAGGTATGTACAACAGGTATAGCGTAATGGGGCCCAATACAGCCATATTGAAAGCGGCCAGTTTCCGAGGTCGGTCGTGAAACAGTTGGAAAAGCGAACATTTTCGAACGGGGATTCGGTTGGTTAGTCACTTCTTTCCTTCGTTTACGGTCCGTGAGAGAGCGGACCCACCTTCTGACAGGTGGAATGCGGGGCCCCAACATAGCCGTGGGGCCCGACAATCGCGATCGCAGCGACGCGAACCGACTCGTTCAGGTATGTGCCTTTGCTTAGCCCGCGACTACTGTCCCTTGCTTTGCTCTTACTACCTCGAGTTTACTGCGCCCGCTTTCATTTTTTTTTTACAAAAACGAGCAGCAGCTAGATCTTAATTATATCGAAGTTTCAACAAATAGATTTTTCGGTGTCTGAAACCGAGTCGGAGTACTTACAGCTTCATGTTCATTATGAAAAACAAATACATCTATACATAGACATTACGTGTACATGGTAAATCAGAAGCCTATGCAACAGGTACAATGATATGTACACATATTACCAAAGCTATACTTATTTCTAGTTTAATATTTGACTAAGAAATGATTATTGCAAATGTGATCTTAATTACGTAACATCTGATTCGGTTTTCCAGTTCTCACGGTCAATGTACAGAGCAATCTCTAACGCGTTAACGTTCAAATACGTCGTAAACCGCTTCTTTAAGAGTGATCTCTACACGCAAAAAGTGTAAATCACGGCAAATCACAGGGATGCAAACAATTTTCTAAACAGCCATCGAGAATATCTCGGGCTCTTCAGAAGCAGCTCTTTTAGAGCTTAATTAAACTTCTGTTGCCTATAATCATCTTCGTGTAGCTGCCAAACGGTCGATGTGAAAGATTTGACTTTCACTCCGTTGCACTACTTTCACCCGAGTTTCTTCGAAATGAAAAATATTACTGCCAATCTCGTCGATATGATTGTTATTAATATGCCATGTAGTAATTGTAACGATTTGACACAATGCTCCTTAATAATGGTTGCTGTGCAAATACATAGGCGGGTACTACATGAAATCTTAATTACACTAAATGCTTCTAGAATGCAAAAATTTTGTTTCCTGCACGCATACCGCGCACATCTTGAATGTACCGGTGTTGATTGCATTTAACCGGTTTTCCATTCACATGAAAGAATTGTGTATCTATAAATATTGAAAGAATGAAGTCGTTTGAATGTGATTTACACTGTCCGCTTTTCACACGTGGATTGCATCGTATGTTTACTCTCCTCTTGCGTAGGTATGTGTACATTTTGTTTAACTGGGAATTTAACCGAGTTAGTCGTTCATATCTTTTACTTTACATATTATATGTTTCTACGTTTTATAAAACAATAGTAGCTCGATACGAGAATTTCGTTTGCACGTACATATTCTTTGTTCTATTTTGTGTAGGTTGTTTTACGCTGACGCATACGATTTATGAAATTTTATTTGCGTTACGCTACGGGCAAACAATACGGCTCGCATTTCGCTTGGATAAATCATGGGCAATATAATTGATTCAACAAGATGAATTATTTTCCAGTTACTCCGACTCGTAAATATTTAAACAATAAATTTCGCGGATTTCTTATTAGTCCTCGTTTGTACTCTGTACAATAAAAATTGAAGGTTGTGCAAACACAATGGGTTATCATAAGATACAGTCCCAGATGTATTCGACTTCTCGACTGTTTATTTTTCGAAAAAAAGAAAAAAGTAGAATCGTGGAGACAACAGTTTACATTTACATAATGCATCCGGCAATTTGTACACATCCGTAATTAAAATGCCCACCATTAAATCATACCAATGGCGAGCTCGTGGATCGTTTGTTAATCGCCAATACTGGACTATAAAATTTCAAATAGAGTCGAACTTCCAGACTTGACGAGTGGAAATTATTTCATCCAATTTGGTATTCTTGGGACTTCTCTGCTTGTAAGTTACGCAATTCGAGAGAAATCTCGGAATACATGGTTACGAGAGATTTACTCTACATCGTACAAGAAGTTTTTCTAAACCACAAGTTCACATGCTTTCGTTGTCGCGTTCAGTAAACTTTCATACTATTTATAAACTTACGTTTCTCGTGAAACATGTTACCTTCGAGGGACACGAACGATCGTCACATGGTTAATCTCGCCTAATATCTATGCGGTGTACGTTGAACGTTGAGAAACGAATTGAAACTAAGGACATAAGATACGTTTCCTGCTTTACGTGACATTGCAATCTGTCATCGGAGACGGACAATTCATGGATGATAAATGGACGGATAGAAACCAGGGACGTCTACTATTGTTTGTAAAATAGAACTCGAAAATACTACTTCTTTAAAATTGACTAAAGTTGAGCGTAGTCATTTAAATTAGATTATTATCAGATAGAGTTATTCGCTGTGCATTTCGCGTTAATCTATTATAGTCGACGATTGTTTATAATCCACCGTATTTACTCGGATCTCGTAAATTGTCGCTAGAGCTCATACGTAAACGTTTGATTCCGCTTTGTCCTATTAGATCAGCATCTCAGTTAAATGAGCCGAAACGTAGATTCCAGGTTCGTGCAGTTCATCGTCAATTAAATTAAGGAGTGCTTCATCCAATTAATCTGTTCTTCTGAGAATGAGAGTTGCACAAACTGTACTTTAAGATACAAATAACTATGATAATTGATAGCTTCAGAATCGCTTTTAGAATTTGAATTCAATAAGATTGAGTCCTTGTCGTTCAGCTTGGATTAATGCTCCGTTCGTATGCAATGAGTTAGAGGACGTCACGCTTCATCTGCGTATTCTAAACTTAGGATACAATTGTAAACGACATTAAACCATTGCTCGCGAATTATTCTCGATCCGGCAATAAATTGAAATGGCAGGATAAGAACCGTTTATATTGTTCATCATGATAGCTTCTCCATCAGGCTTGTATTCCTACGAAGCGTTTATCTAAAAATTCTATTTGAAATTACCGAGAGTCACGAAGACGTTGTTACCTTGACACGATGCGAGTACCACGCCTCTCAGGATGGGCACGCATGGAGTAGGTCGGGGCTCGTTAAAACCTGCTGGTCTCTTTTCTCATTCGTATTCGCGTGAACTTTCATAAATCTCATTCTGCTTTAATCCGCGAACTTCTAGTACACAATAGTATACAATATTTTATAATGGTGGAATGCCTCCGGCTCAAGGCTAAGTCATGATTCAGAGTCATCCGCGAGACCTTCCAATTTGGCTAATCGTCTAACAGGGGTCAACTCGATTACGGGAGGTTAGTCTGACAATTTCTCTTCGCTGTCCGTCCTCACCTTTCATTCTAGAATTTTATACCTCTCTTTATGGTCAAAAGACAGGAAACAAACGTATGAAGTCATATTGTAATATTTCAATTATAGCCTTTAAATACAAGGATAATAAATTGAACTTATACGTAGACATTTAATTGATTATACACTTAATCGTGTTGTCACTAATGCGGAATAGAACAGATAGTACACCTATCCAACCTTATAGATTTTTGCCATTCACATACATTAAATTATTGAAAGAAAGGGGTGGTGACTCCCAATCACAAGCACCTACCCTCAATGGTCAAGGATCGTGAAGTAAAAATACCAAGATTTCTTTATTGATCAAAGTTTGGCCGACTTTTATTCGAATGAAATTGAATCATATTCACATCAGTTAACAGACACATTAAATTATTGAAAGATCAACATACCAGGTTAAGATATAGAGATTCTGAGAGATTTACAAACTGGATAATGATAAACGACTATCATGGAATTTCCGCTTGAGTAACATCTGTACAGTGAAAGTAGCTAAGAATGTAACAAATGGAAGATTAATTTTATCATCGGATTTAGCAAATATTTGTGACGTGAGAATTACTTAATTACATTTAATGATTTGCGTTTTTTAAAGTATAGACTGCGCATTTGTGTATTTATGGAGAAATTGTATATTGCATTTCCTGAATTAACATTACAAGCGTTTTAATCTGTATGGAAACTCGCAGTGTATGTCGCATTATTAAAAATAACGCTACACGGAAGGATTCTTGGAAGTAAGACGAGAATCCTAACGGTTGCACAAGTTTCTAAGAGAACAAAAGATTCTCGTCATCAGATGTGACTAAATGTTTGACGATATACAAGATCCACCTAATCATCTTTAAACAACCGAGCTAATAATTGCAAGCTGTCGTTTTCGTATCACCTGCTATCTGAGTATCTGCTAGTTTAGTATCGTCCAATCTGTTGTGCACAATATATCTAGATAACATTCCTGAAAAAGCAATTATCACCTTATTTCGGAGGAAATATGAAAAGACTAACTCCATTTATGGGAATCTTCTCAATGATTTTTTCAATATAATAAGGGCTAAGATCAAGGGATAGTAAATTGGTTATTTTCAATGAAATGTATTCGCAAGTAGAGAATTATGAGATCAAGATGGTATACATGTTTTGTTATACTATCACAGTCAGACACATACGTATGTGCAGTGAAAATACACGAGCGCAGTACGCAAGACATAGATTGCAAACAGCTGGTTAACCAGACATACACACACAATCCAGTTGATCGGAAAAAACAAGTGTAATTACGCTGTATATTTAATATCAGTCTCTATATTCGTAAACAGAGTTCGATTAACCTTGCCATTCCTGCGGAAATTAATCCTGATTAATAACTTAAATAAAATCCAACGTGATCCTCTTGGCACGTTGCAGCTTCGCCTTTTTTCTCGTATCATTCGTTTCATTATATTTTATAACTTTCATGTAATATGAAATCGTTCGTTGATTTGAATTATTGCTTAGTTCATTTATTATCTACTTCGTGCTTCTTGTAACTGTTAATAACTGCAAGTTCGTATAATTGATTACAAACTCTACTATGTTAGACGTATGAGTGTCAGATTCCTAATCAAAATAGACATTACAGGAAATTGTTTCTCTCGAGCGTTCGTATTTT